CACACAAAAAAGAGTGAGAAAAAAACAGCGGGTGGTTTGAAAAAAAAAAAAAAAAAGTGGGGTGGGTGGGTGGGTGGAGAGCTTAATGGCTCCCTGAGATGTTGTGGGTTGTTTCCGGGAGCTCCCTTCAAAGAAGGAAAAAATGTTTTCATCTCTTAATATAAGCTGGCTCTGTAAACACGGGGGTAGAGGGGGCCAAATCCATTACAGGGGGAGTGTTTACTGAATGCTGTGCAGAGGGCTCTTGCCAGCAGTGAGGCACAAATGTTCTCTTCCTTGCATGACTTGGAGGTGGAGAAGCAAATAAAAGCTTTTTCTGGTCCTGCCTCCTCACCAGTTCTGCCACTGTCTTGAAATTCCCACTGCCCCAAGGACAGCTATAAAAATGTTTGCTGAAGTTCTATATTTGGAAACAAGTGTTAGTAGCATAGAGGTGAGGGACTCGCCTCTGTCCTTCCTTTTCTTTTATTGTCTTGCCCGGTTCCAATCTTGTCTGGACAAACTTGATAGGAGAGGAGAAAGGTCTTTCCAGGGTCTGCTTGGAAAAAAGAGATGATATAACATGATGGGCCTGTCCCAGCGGGCATGGCTGTGCCAGTTTGGGGTGCAGAGTGTAATACAACCAAGGTATGGGGTGGATGGTATCTCCCCAAGATGCCAGGCAGCAATGGGCACAGCTCCTGCCAAGGGGAGGGAGCAGGTCCCTTTGTTAAGGCAAAGATAGGAGTGACCCTGCTGGGGACTTGCCACGCCAAGTGTGAAGGTCTCTAATAGGAACACAGGAATCAGATCTCCAGTGGCTTTTTCAGCTGAGTTCTCTGGGCTGCATGCGTGACCATCCCGTCCCCTGGCATGGGGGGCTGTGCTTGGCCACGGGGCTGCCCCTCCTGCTTTCTGAGGCTGAGGGGTGTAGAGGAACGGGGCAACCTGCTGCTCTGTCATCACCTTCTTCCTCCTCTCCCAGGTGCTGCCTCTGGAAAACAAGATGAAGAAGCCCCAGCAGTTCCCAGTCATCCTCTACGTGGGGATGATCATTGTCACCCTCTTGTACATCAGCCTGAGTGTCCTGGGGTACCTGCGCTTTGGAGACAACATTCAAGCCAGCATAACACTCAACCTGCCCAACTGCTGGTGAGTCTGGTGGGGTGAGGGAGGAGGGTCCTGGCCAGGGAGGCAGGAGAGGAGGCAGTGGGGGACATGGCTCCTTAGGAGAACTCATCTTGGGGAAGGATCAACCGTGCCAGAGCCAAACTGTCCAAAGGAGCTTGTCAAGGGCTGTCTGATCTATGGGGTGATGAGGCTCATTGCTGCAGTGTCTGAGCCTGGTCTTGGCTCTGCAGCTTAGTTTTCTCCTTGGTGTCCCTGGTGGACCCTGCCTGGGTAGATGCAGCTCCTGGTTTTTTCTTGGAGCCTTGTGGTGTCTTTTGGTGGGGCTAAGCTATGCTCTGGCCAGCAGACGTTAAACACAACCCCTGTGTGGCCGTATCAGGTTGTCGAACAGTGCAAAAAGCACATCTCTTCCCCAAACGAAGCACACAGAAAACTAAACCTGAAGCTGGGAGCTCCCAGAGGGGGTGAGATGTGACGTCTCTGCATGTGGGCTGCATTCCTTGTTTGCAGCCCTGGAGCTCCAACTCCCACTCCTGGGCTCTGTGTTGTGTCTGGCTGTGGCTCTGCTTGAGCCAACGCTTTGCCTGTGAGCGCTGCTGCTGGGAGGATACCCCTTCCTTTCCGTGGGGGCTGAGCTCTGCAGCTCCCCAAACCTGTCTGTCCTCCTCTGGGATCTGGTGAGACCTCCTGAGGTGCTCTGGTCACTGGCTGGAGCCCTGGGGAAATGCACGTGCCCTGACTTTGTACCTGCTTACCCGTAGGGGTTATTTCTCATCTCGCCAGGGCTGGTGGCTGTTGCAGCAGTTGGCCAAGCTGTGTGCTGCTCTGTCCCTGGGGGCGAGTGGTTGCTCCATGTCGTGGCTCCATATTCACCCCAGAGGAGAAATACAAGCAGCTTCTTGTGCCTTTGGGATAAGAAATGTGGAGCACGCAAATACTGAGAACAAACGCCTTTTCCAGCTTGTTCTGCTTGGGATTAGAGAAAGTCCTGAAAAAAAAACATCTCTGTTGCTTTCTGTGTTGCTTCAGGATGTCTGTGTGGCAGGATCAATTGCACGGCAACATCTCCTGCACCTTGGTGTGGAGCTGGGGCTGAGGGCTGGCTTTCATGCCTTGAGGCTTCTTACAAAGCTGTCCTGTGGCAGCATAGATTCTCTGGGTTTGCCAAAGAGCACTCTGGAGTTCAGCAGTTTCTCTCTGATGTCTCTGCTGGCTTGAAATCCTGTGAGACTAGGGTGAAAGTTGGAGCTGGGGGTGCCTGTCCCCCTCCCCAGCCCATCTTCTCTGCTCTTGGCAGATGCCCAGCGCTGTGTGGTGAGACTTGCTGCCTCTTCCCCACTGCCAAAGTGGATTTTGGGTAGGACTCACATTTTGAGTCACTGGTGGCTTTCCACACGCTGACCTTCTAGTGCTGTACAGCTGGGGCTTTGGAGAAAGCAGGGAATTTTACCCCTCCATCCCCTCACCCCCTAAAACATGGAGCCGGGTTTTGCTTTAATTATTCGATTTAACAATATTTAATTATTCAATTTGGGTGCATGGACTTTCATTCATGCTGGCTCTGTGCGGTGACTGAACTGCTGGATGCTGGTGTCGGTGTGGCAGAAGGTCCTGCTCCTGCTGAGGGCCTGGCCTTGTCCCCTTCAGGGGCTGGAAGCTCTGTCAGGTCCCTGTTCTTGAGGAAGAGGGATGGGGCTGGTGGAAAAACCATGTCTGTGTTGTAGTGAGGTCTGAATCCCACCCTTCCAAGCACAGTAGGTGTGAATCCCACCTGCTCAGCAGGGTGAAGTGTCTTCTGGAGGGGGAGAAATGCTGTTGCTGCTCCTGAAGGTGGGAGGCAGGTCAGATCTGGGTCCTGGGCTCTTCGGGGCAGCAGCTCATGCCACTAGCCTGGAACAACATCTGAGGACCTGTAATGCTGCCCAGGGGTTTCTGTGGGAAATCTCAGCTTTCTTTGCTCTAAAGGATGACGTTTGTTCATAAGCGGGTAATGGGATTTCCGTGACTCACTAGGCTACAGAAAGATCCTATTTCAGATGTTTCTAGGGAATGTCCGTGCTTTCTGTCAAAGTGCTTTTCTGAAAAAGAGCTGTAGGGATTTTCAGATAGGGAGAAGAGAAAAGCCCTTTGGAAGCGGTGCCTGGGGAAGTGCGGGCACATGGCAGGCTGTCCCTGGGGAAGAAAGGCATGTGGTGGTCCTTGTGACTCACCAGACAAAGTGCTTTGGTGTTTGTGCATATTTCTTCTTGGCAGAGCATTCAATTGAGGCTGTAAATATTGGACTTGGGTATGGGTTATCTAATGTAAGGGTTGGGATACTTGGGCTAAAGCCTTGACCGCTGGATTCCCATGTGTTAAACTGTAGGTGATGGGTGAAGAATTGCTCTTGAAATGAGTGTTTTGCCCATCCTGCTTTGCCTGCAGGTTTTCTGCCAGGCAGTAAAAGGTGTTGGGGTGCGGGAGATGGTCAGAAGGGCTGTGGGTGAGGAGTCATGGGTTTTGCCTGGAGCATGGGAGACAACCCGAGGATTGTGGTGGAGATGCTGCATCCTTCCTTGACTGTAGCCTGGAGATCTCTAGAACAGATTTTTATGGACGGGTCAGGAATTGTTGAGTTGCAGAATGACTGAGGACTTTTCCAGCCTCATTTCTCTGCAACCGCAGCTTCCTCAAACGAGGAGTGTGTCAGTTCCTAGTGCCTGGGTCTAACCACGACCTCCGAAATGCTGCGCTGCTGTGCAGAAATCCCTCCTTGCATCCTCGGAAGGGTTGCTTCACCCCACCGTCTGGAGAGTGAAGAAATGCTGTAGCGAGGGGGAAGATGTTTGGTCGCATACGTGTCATGGTCCATCCTGGCTGAAACCGTGGCAGTATCACTGGCTGGAGGTGGGTAATGACAGAGCTTTCGGTCAAAGGAGGGTGTGCCGTTTCTTGCAGCTTGTTGGGATGGCCTGGGCCTGGCTCTCTGGGTCAAGCAGGTGGTTCCTGTGGTTGGCAGAGAACCCTGCATGGACCTATGTTTTGTGGGGGTCAAGGTTAGTGCTTGAATTCTTCCTCTTCTTGATACTTAAAATGCCCTTTGAGCTTGTTACCCTGGTTTTCAACCTGTACGGAAGCGGTACCCAACCTTGTTCTGTACCTTTTTTTAGTAAGGTCTCTTAATCATGGACTGTCTCAGAGCGTTTTATGGCTTTACAGCATCATTTAACTGGAAATACAGCGATAAGATATGCGGTGGGGTAGATGGCTCAAGGCTGCTGTGCACTCAAGTCATGAGTGGCCAAGTGGGCGCACTCTGGACTGTCTGATAGCTTAGTCTAAATTTGTCTGTGGAATTGCAGGGTATTTTGGGTTGGAGAGAGTATAATGAGATCATCAGGTCTACTCACCTGCTCAAAGCAGGGCCAACTTAAATTTTGAATATAAGTAAGGAGGGAGGTTCCCCACCTTTCCAGGCCCTTGTTCTGGTGCTTTACTACCCTTTTGGGATGCAGCTCTGTCCCGGTGCCACTGTTTCTTCTGCGGTGAAACTCCTGAGAAGTGTCTATCTCTGGCTTCTCCATGCCCTCCTATTAGGTAGCTGAAGACAGTAATAACATCCCCATTAACCTCCTCTTCATGCTGAACGAGCCCAGGTCTTGCAACCTCTCCTCATATGTCATGTGCTTCAGTCCCAACTATCTCAGTAGCCTCCACTCCACTTGCTCAGGTAGATCAATGTCTCTCTTGTCCTGGGAGTCCCAGGGCTGGACACAATACGCAAGATGCAGCTCCACAAGCCACAAGGGCTACCTTAACCCTACCCTTGACCCACAGTTTGTGCTTTTGCTAAGACAGCCCAGTATGTGATTGACCTGAATCACTGCAAGGTCTTGCTGTTGGCTCACGTTCAGTTTTTTGCCCGCTAAGGCTTCCAGGTCCTGTTCTCCAGGCCAGGGGAGAAGCTGGGCCCCAGCCCTTCCCATGTGTAGGATTTTGTTTTGGCATTTGAACTTTGGCTGTGCCACCATGTTGTTAAGGTCCTGCTCCAAGGGGAGACCTTTTCCTGATCGTCCTGCTCTTTTAAAGATGGTAAAGTGGCTTCAGGCTGATGTTGCCCACAATCTGGAATACATCTGATCTGGTCCCGTGGGCTTGCATAACATCTCGTTCACTTAGGGGATCCCCAACTTCATCCTCTGCTATTGTGGGGAATGTTTGACTCCACCAGACTCTGCCACTGGCGTTCAAAGTTACTTGGACTTTTTTAGTTTGAGACTGCTGTTGTAGCATCTCCATGCTGAGAGCCAACATGCAGAAGGTCACTGGGTTGGGCCCAAAGAAGGTTAAAGGGGTATAAGAAGGCAGGAGGAGCCAGATGCCTTCCTCATCTTGGATCCACTTCTTGTTTACCCAAGTGGTATTGCCAGGACCCATGTTTCCTGTGTGGTCGCTATGCCTTGAGTCAGGGAATGGGTAGGACTGTATGTGATGTAACTAGACATTGTTCCTGTTTTGGAGTGGCTTTTTCTGCTCCTGGGGAGCTGAGGGCAGAGATGGGGCTGAGAGGTGGCTTTTTGGCCACCAGCAACAGGCTCTGTCCAGCAGCCACGCTTGCCCCACTGTCACATTGCTGTAGGATGTAGGATGTGGTGAGATCTGCCCCGGGGTGAGCTCAAGGTGCTGTTTGCAGCCTGTCTGTGCTCTGCCTTCCTTCTGCAGAGCCCAAACTGCACTTCTGACTCTCTTCCCCTCAAACATGCATTATGCAGCACTCCAAAAATAGCTGCTCTTTTTTTTTGTTTTATGGAGAAAGCTGAGTTGCAGGTGGTTGTGATGTTTGGAAATGTTTGCTTTGTAAGTCCAAACTTATCCCAGCGGTGCTGTCCTCTTCCCGCTCCTCAGAAACCATATCGAAATCTGGGAAATACTCATGGCTGTGGCTGATAAACCTTTTTGAAAATATTCTTCATCTCCTGTTTTAAGACGGAGAATAAAACCCAGCTGGTTACAAATGGGAGAAAATGAGGGGTTTTTTCCTTCCTGCAGCTCAGAGGTTGGATTTTGTTAGTGAAGGTCAGGGTGAGGAACCTCTGGATGGGTGAGGGATGCAACTTTATTCTGGGTCACCAGCCAGAAGCTGGGATTGCAGGGTCCTGGCTGTACTGGTGCTAGTGGGTATTTGGGTGTTGTCTGTATGGAGTAATCATGAAGATGGCCATCCTGTGTCACCACAGACCTGGTGGAGTCCAGCCCGGTCGAATGGAGAAGGGTGGTGCAGAGCCTGTACCCCTCTGAGGAAGCAAGGTACCTGGGGGACTTGTTTCTTCGTGCAGCCAAGGGCAGTGCTGAACACGAGAGCTTCTAGAAATGTAGGTAGGTGCCTCAGCTCGGCCAGGAACAAGTCAGGTTCCTGGTCCCTTGGCCAAGGACACCTCAGCTTTCCCTGTCCCCTTGAATGAGTCAGGAGCAGGACAGTGGTGGTTTGCTGTTTTTTTTTCAAGTAGCTCTCAATATCTGTGCCCACGAGGTTTCCCAAGGGGAAGTGGCACTTGAGAGGCTGCTGGCCCTTACGCAAGGCCGGGGCTGAAGCCTCCGATGAGGTGTGGGTTGCCCCAGCTTGGAGGTTGTGCTGTTTCCCCTTGCGCAAGAAACGTCTCGGTGGATTGAGTGCATCTCCCCGAATTTTCCAGGAGGGTGTTTCAGGAGGGGAGACTGTTTGGACAGGGAAGTCTTCTTGGCAGAGCGTTCCCTTCCTGCTTTCTGCCGTTGATGCTGTGGGGGCTGGAGCGAGAGCATGCCTCACTGGGTCTCTTCCTTCTCGTTTGCAGGCTCTACCAAGCTGTCAAGCTGCTCTTCTCCTTTGGGATTTTCTTCACGTACGCCGTGCAGTTCTACGTGCCCGCCGAGATCATCATCCCTCCCCTCGTCGCCCGGGTGTCAGAGCGCTGGGGCTGGGTGGTCAACCTGCTCCTCAGGGTGGCCCTGGTCAGCGTGACCTGTGAGTAGAAAGCAGCTTTTTTAAGTTCCCCTATGAGGACATGGTGCCCCCTTCCCACCGTGGGATGAGGGTGCTGAGATCCTTCACCCCTTGCTGTGCTGCTTCTGGCCTTGCTACTAAACCCCTTTGTGTGGAGCCAAGCTCCTCATGCCTGTGTGACGGGGACATGGCTGCAGAGGGGTCACTTACCACGAGGAAATGGGTGTCTTTCTACACACACATTCATTGCAGTATGTAGCACAGCAGAAGACAACTGACAATGGTACACAACCTGTAAGCAAAGCCCCGGTGTGCCTGTGGCCACTGGGCAGGTCTGGCTGGATCAGCTCCAGATGGTCCTTTTCCCTTGATGATGTTTGGTGCCTGCAGTGAGACTTCTGGGGGAGCAGGCTGGTGGGCTTGAGCCTGGTGGACCTTCAGGAGAAGCGTGAAGCAAATCAGTTGCAGGAGTATCTGATTTTGGCTGGCTTTGTCCTGAAGACCTAGATCTTTGCTGTTGTCAGCAGAGCTGAGACGCTTGACTGAGCTCCCAGGCATCATGTGCTGAAAAAGAGCTTTTCTCCATGGCTTGATGCTGCTGATGTGCCAGAGTTGAGCATCAGGGACCTGGCCTGGTGTCCCAGCTGGCTTTGGTTTGGGCTGGAAAGGGGGATGATGCTCACTGGAGGGCAGTGGAGCTGGCTGAGAGCAGGGTTCTGCTGGTTTCTGGGCCGTTGTTAATGGTGGGACAGAAATGCTGCATTAACAGAGGTGAGCAAAGCCCCATCTTCTCCGTGCTGAGTTGCTGGAACGTGTTCTGCCTCAACGCCCACAGCTGGTGCAGGGATGAAATTCTGCCATGCTGCACCCTGTGCTCTGGCCACCTCGTGCTGGTGGTTGAGCTCAGAGCTTGCCTGCGAGATGGGAACCTCTTCTGGAGAGTGGTGGGGCGTGCCTGGCCAGGGAAGCGAAGGCTGGGAGTGATGGGGTGGCTTTAGGCACCGGCAGTGTCCGTACCCTCCTGTTTGGGGGTAGGGAGGCAGCAGCGGTGTTGGTGGAAGGATGCTGGGTCCTTTGTACCTCCTCCCCTTACCCTTCCATGTAAGAAATTGCTGCGGCTGTTGGTGAGGATAAAAGAAATTAGGGGGTTTGCATGAATATTCATCGTATGATTTTGTGGCCACAGAACAAGCCTGCATCAGGCTTTGGCTTTCAAAGAGAGGATGCAATTTGGTGTATGGGTGTCTTTTAAGCTTTGACTTCAAAACCAGTGCACTTTAAAACCCTTTGAATTAATACCTGCAGAAAGCACAACCGTTGCCCCTGGAGGCTGAGGGCTGCAGCTGGTGCTTCAGTTCTGCTTGTTTTAGAGGGGAGGTTAATGATTTTGTTTGCTTTGAGTCCAAAGAGCGGTGTGGGGTGGGCTGAGGATGCTGTTGGTGGTCGGCTGCTCTGCTTTCCCCACACTGCTGGAGTGGGGATGCTGCTCGCAGCAGAGACCTCCTTTGGCCTTGTGCAGGGCTGAGCACCAGCATAAACTTCCTCCAGGTCAGCTCAGCAAGACCTTTGCTGCTGTTCTCCCGTGGTGGAGGGATGGTTCATCTCTAGGCTTCTCCAAATGACAGCAGAGCTAGAGTGGGGACGATGTGCAGGAGTGTCTCCTCTTTGTGTCTTTGCCCACTGTCTCCCAAGCCTTCCATCTCCTGTGGTGCTGTGGGTGATCTTTGGCTCGGGGAGGTTCCAACACCCTTCCTGCCTGTAGCTGATTGCCAGAGTGAACAAATCCTTCCACTAAGGAACCTTGAGACTTCCCTTCTCCACCGAGGCTGTAGCTGCCATGGTTCTGGGCGTCTCCTATATCTAAGCAGAGCTTTCAAAGCAATAATCCAATTTATTCCTCCTGGTCACTGTGAGCGCTGAAGCCTGCTTTGCTCGCAGAGGATGCTCTTCTGTCGTACAAAACCTCTGGTTGCCTTTTCCTCAGGCTTTGTTTGTCCAAAAAGCAGCAGCAATGCTCTCCAGTGCCGAGGTTGCTGTGGAAGGGGTGCCAAGAGTCACCTTCATGAGACTTTATTTTAAATCTGCTCCCCAAATGCTGACGCTGAGGTGCCCCAGAGGCTCTGGGCTGGTTGGAAGGAGAAGGCACTATCCCTCCATCCTCCCCTGGCCCCCAGGAGGAGGAGGAGGGGGGGAAACAGGAATATGCCGGAGTTTGCAACCACTAAGTGCGAGCTGTCAGAAGTCTCCCAGGGGGATTTTCCTTGGCTGCAGTTTTTAATCTAACAAATGTTCTCCCTGGGGCCGTGCCGTGGGCGCCGCGCTGCTGGAGCGGCTCTAAACACATGGCAAACCTCATGGATTTATTCGGGGTGGGGGGGAGGTGGCTTTTTCCTCTTGCCTCCTGCTTTTATGGGGTTTCTGAGGCTTTATGGCTCCCCAGGTGTGGGGAGCAGGAGGGCTGGCTCTCACAGGGGGGCCGGGGGGGGCCAACAGCAACTCTTCTCCCAGCGGCATCGGTTTGCTGGGGCACTGGTCCTGCTCAGCACTGGAGCTCACCTCGGTGGTGCCCAGGGTGACAAAAAGGGTTTGGTCTGCCTTCTCGTTAACTCGATGTAACAGCTTAATTGCTGGTTGGGGAGAAGTTGCTGGAAAACATGCGGCCATGTCTTCAAAGCTCTGTGTCAAGGAAAAGGGCAGATTGAAGCAGACGACGTTGTTGTGGTGGGTTTTGGCTTGTTTTGACTGGGAGGGGGGGTCTCTGCTGTGTGGGTGCCGGCAGCGTTAATGTTGTCTGCTCTTCCTCCAGGTGTCCTGGCCATCCTCATCCCGCGCCTGGACCTCGTCATCTCCCTGGTGGGCTCTATCAGCAGCAGCGCCCTGGCTCTCATCTTCCCCCCGCTGCTGGAGATCGCCACCTACTACGCCGAAGGCATGCACCCCCTCGTCATCGCCAAGGACATCATCATCAGCCTCTTCGGCTTTGTGGGTTTCGTGGTGGGGACGTACGAGGCGCTGCTGGAGCTGATAGCCCCCGCCACCACCGTTGTCAACGGCACCAGTGTCATGGTGCAGTGACGGTCCCCCCTGCCCCACCGGCTTCCCCCCCACCCCCCTGGGATGCCGTGCTGGGGGGCACACGGGCACCGGGCACTGCTGGTCCCCTGGGGATGGTCTCTCCTCTCCTCTCCTCCTGGAGAAACGTGGTGGGTTTGGTCTGCGAGAGGACAGGGCTGCCCCCAGTTTGTGGCCACCCATCTCCGGCTGCAGCAGGGCCCGGCTGGGGAGGTGGGATCCGGCCTGGGGCTGGGGCAGTGCCTTCCCTGGGGGGCTTTTTTTGGGCAGGTGATACAGCAAAACAAGCCCCCTCAGCGCCTGTGTAAATAGTTGCTTTGAGAGGTGAGGAATCTGGGCGATGCAGATTTTGGTTTTATTTTTTTAAATCCCAACCTTTCCGTATTTCCCCCGTCCCTTCAGGCAGGGCGGGGAACAGGGACTGCTCTTTTTTTGTGCCAGTTGTTGGTTTTTTTTGTTTGGTTTTTTTTGGTTTTTTTTTTGTTTTTTTTCTGCCTCAGCACTTTATTTTTACAGCAACAGAGAAACCTCAGCTCAGGTTGGAGAGCGTGGAGCTGCCTCCTCACCCCAAGCCCTGGGGCGAGGGAGGACGGAGCTCGAGGTGCGGTGCATCCCGGGGACCCCTGGCTCTCTTGTGGTGGGGTCCCTGGACGTGGGCATTGGCTCCTGCTGTGTTCCCACTTGGTTTCCAGCCACCCTGGGGGCTGAGCAGGGCCTGGAGCAGGAACCAAGCACCTCCCTGCTCTGGAAGGGTGTGCTGAACCCTGGCCCACGCTTTCAGTAGTGACACTCTTATTTTTTTCCCTCCATTTTAGCGCACAAATGTAATTTTTGGAACACTTTCAGAAGCGTTAGGAACCAAGGCGTGTGGAAGGCAAAGGGGCTCTGCCATCACAAAGGGTCCAAGCCAGTCACCTTTGGCTGGGAGCCTCTCCCTGCGTGGGATGGGGTGTCCCTGGGGGTCACCACATGCTGCCCACATGTCACAAAAATAAATCACCTTGTTTACAGTGCCCGAGCTGGCCCTGGCACGCTCCAGCTGCCTCTGCGGGCCGTTACTGAATGTCAAATCACTCACAAAAACCCTCATAATAATCTTTCTTTTTACCCTTTCTTTCCTGTTCCCACTCCCTCCCCTCCTGGTGGCATCCTCCACCCCAGCTCTGGTAAGAGGCAGCTCTCTCTGGTGCTTCTCCCCGTGCTCCTCTTGCTTCTTGCGTTGTGGCTGGTGCATGCCTGGGGTGGACGGTCCCCACCGCGCTGCTGCTTTCCTTCGGTGAGCCCAGCTGTCTCCCTGGAGAGTTCCCTTGCCTTTCTGCTGGATTAATTCTTCGGTGAGCCCAGCTGTCTCCCTGGAGAGTTCCCTTGCCTTTCTGCTTTATTAATTATTATTATCTTTTTAAGATGAGAGCAAATGCATCCCCTGGGGGATGTCTTTTCCTAGCGGTGTGAAAGCCACCCCTCTGCAACCCCCCGTCTGGGCCAAACTCTTCTCTGCTGACGCAGCATCTCCCAACTGCCAGCAGCGTGGTGGCTTCCTCTGGAGAACTTTGATCCCTGCATCCTGCTGCAGCCAGGTCTCCCTGGGGATGGGCCAAGGCTGCTGGTGGTGGTGGGAAAGGAGTGTGAATATAGTGCTGATGGACTCTTTCCCCTCTTTGGTGGAGGATGAGTGAAGCTTGGGGGTTATTTCTGGTGCTTGACCCGCTTTGGGAGGAGAAGGCTGTGCAGAGCAGTGTCCCTGCAGCTGCCTCTCTGGATGGTGTTTCAGTGTCTCGCACTGTGTCCTGTTTGCTGCCTCTGCTTCGGGTGCCCCATGCTGGTACGTGGACCCACGGCCAGGTGTGGGGTGGGTTTGTGCCACCTCACTGCTCCTTTCCAGCCCCTCACCTGCTCGCTGCATCTCTCGGGGCTCACCTTGTCTCCTCCGAGTCTGCGCTGGTGAAGGTTTCACCATGTTCTGGCATCGCTTGGTTGTGGGCAGAGCAAAGCTTTAAGTCAAATCCTCCGTGGGGAGGACACCACGGGGGTAGAGAGCGATCACCCGGGGCTGGGAGGGGGCTCCAGGGCACACTGCGGACGGGAAAAGTGCAATATTCACAACTAATTCACATCCAATCGCTGTGTACTGAGCCCAGCGATGCCCTAGGGGGTTTGGGTGCAGAAATGTCACCCTCGGCGTGGTGTGAGGGACAGGGGATGTCTGATGCTTGCCCCCCCAGCTCTGTCGTTACCCCACAAGAAGGCTGGCCACATTTTGGGGGACAGCTGTGTGCCAGGGCCTGTCCCCAGCCCCGCACTGGGCATCAGAGGGTTTGCTGGTGGGGCACGGAGCATCCAGTTCACGTTGCGATCAGGGGTGAAGACCTCATTTCCCAGGAGACTGGGGTATCACAGCAGCATTACATGGGGTTTTTTTACGGTTCTTCACTTTTATTGGGGTGAGCAGGGGGGTGGTTGGGGATGGGGCCAGACGTGCTGGTGGGGCACACAGAGCGAGGGGCTCTCCCCAGCCACGGGGAACCCCGACACAGGACCCGATGGGCACAAAAACTTGACACTTGTGTATCGTAGGCTGCTCTGTAACCAGGGAAATTGTGTGTATATATAGAAATGATGAATGTGCGTGTCTCTTGCCTATGGACAGTGTCAGCGTGCAGCCTGGTGGAAGAGCTGGCGCTGCACCTGAATCATGTATCTTACTTTAATCAATAAATATGATCTATTTTTTATGTGAAAAGGCTCACCTTTTCACAGTGAGATGTGAGTTTCATTTCCATGGGGCTGGCGTAAAACTAACTCCCTGGCATGGCCTGGGCAGGCGTGGAGCAGGTCTGGGGGACTCCAAGGGAGACCTTGCTGTGCCAGGGTGGATGTGGCAGTGGTATGGCATTAATGCCAGTGGACATCCTACAACTTTTGGGTCTCATGTCTTTGTTTTTTCTCTTTTACTTTCCTTTTCTTTGCAAATATCACCCAAGTACAAGGGCTTGGGAAGGAGGGGACATTTGTGGGAGAGCAGGAGACCTGGAGCCCAGCAGGTCAGATAGACCCTATGCTTTTCGCTTTGGGAGGAGAAGGCTGTGCAGAGCAGTGTCCCTGCAGCTGCCTCTCTGGATGGTGTTTCAGTGTCTCGCACTGTGTCCTGTTTGCTGCCTCTGCTTCGGGTGCCCCATGCTGGTACGTGGACCCACGGCCAGGTGTGGGGTGGGTTTGTGCCACCTCACTGCTCCTTTCCAGCCCCTCACCTGCTCGCTGCATCTCTCGGGGCTCACCTCATCTCCTCCGAGTCTGCGCCGGTGAAGGTTTCACCACGTTCTGGCATCGCTTGGTTGTGGGCAGAGCAAAGCTTTAAGTCAAATCCTCCATGGGGAGGACACCACGGGGGTAGAGAGCGAACACCCGGGGCTGGGAGGGGGCTCCAGGGCACACTGCGGACGGGAAAAGTGCAATATTCACAACTAATTCACATCCAATCGCTGTGTACTGAGCCCAGCGATGCCCTAGGGGGTTTGGGTGCAGAAATGTCACCCTCGGCGTGCTGTGAGGGACAGGGGATGTCTGATGCTTGCCCCCCCAGCTCTGTCGTTACCCCACAAGAAGGCTGGCCACATTTTGGGGGACAGCTGTGTGCCAGGGCCTGTCCCCAGCCCCGCACTGGGCATCAGAGGGTTTGCTGGTGGGGCACGGAGCATCCAGTTCACGTTGCGATCAGGGGTGAAGACCTCATTTCCCAGGAGACTGGGGTATCACAGCAGCATTACATGGGGTTTTTTTACGGTTCTTCACTTTTATTGGGGTGAGCAGGGGGGTGGTTGGGGATGGGGCCAGACGTGCTGGTGGGGCACACAGAGCGAGGGGCTCTCCCCAGCCACGGGGAACCCCGACACAGGACCCGATGGGCACAAAAACTTGACACTTGTGTATCGTAGGCTGCTCTGTAACCAGGGAAATTGTGTGTATATATAGAAATGATGAATGTGCGTGTCTCTTGCCTATGGACAGTGTCAGCGTGCAGCCTGGTGGAAGAGCTGGCGCTGCACCTGAATCATGTATCTTACTTTAATCAATAAATATGATCTATTTTTTATGTGAAAAGGCTCACCTTTTCACAGTGAGATGTGAGTTTCATTTCCATGGGGCTGGCGTAAAACTAACTCCCTGGCATGGCCTGGGCAGGCGTGGAGCAGGTCTGGGGGACTCCAAGGGAGACCTTGCTGTGCCAGGGTGGATGTGGCAGTGGTATGGCATTAATGCCAGTGGACATCCTACAACTTTTGGGTCTCATGTCTTTGTTTTTTCTCTTTTACTTTCCTTTTCTTTGCAAATATCACCCAAGTACAAGGGCTTGGGAAGGAGGGGACATTTGTGGGAGAGCAGGAGACCTGGAGCCCAGCAGGTCAGATAGACCCTATGCTTTTCCCACCCCCATAACAGCATATGAGACTCCCCTGTTCTG